CAAGCTTTCTTTGATGTGATGCAATATTTTTGCTAAGGTTTCAAATTATGTTGTCGAACCATATTATAAACATTGCTGAGTAATTTGTTCGCACCTTGTACGCCAAGGTTGGCTTGCAACAATTGGAAACCAAAGAGCACTTCTGATCTAGGTATCGTCAATAACACTAGAGGCATGAGTTATGGTTCACCTAGTAGAAATTATGGAGTGAATCCTAAGAACGGGAGAGATTGAAAGACTCCTTGAGATACCCTAGGTTGGACAGGGTCGTAAGGTGATCGTGTAGATGGAGAATCCATAAGGACTTGATTGATACCACTTTGAGGGAGAGTACTGGATCCTTGGTAGCTCAGGTGGTATTGTTGTGGCAATGGCTGCTTCGTGTTGTGCGGTGGAGCAAGTAGCTCTAGAACCTACCATCACTCGTGGATCTGGAAGGATATTTGAGAAATGATGTTAATCTTCAATTTGAGAGGATCGAGAACAAAGACCTACAATTTAGACTTTAGAGATATGAATTTCTAGGTCAAGGAAGCTTCAATTCCGTGAATTAAGGGATGAATGTTTAAATATAAAAAACGCGGGAATCATATGTTGATTCCAAAAAACGGTGCCACTATTCCGTACAAGAACCAAAATTGATCAATGAAATATTGATGTAAGTCACACAATAGATGCGAGCTTTTGGTATAAGGGAGAAGGGGTTGACCTCCAAAATTAGCACTACAACGCCTAAGTCGATATAAAAGTGAAATGAATGAATGAAATTTGAATTTGAGTTACCTAAGAAATTACTCATTCTCCTTTTTATATAGTAGTGAGGTTATAATCGATTGTTAATCTAATGGCATGAGATACGGAAATCGGTATGATTGTTCTTGGGTTAGGATTGTTTGTTTCCTCATCTAGGATGGTATACTTGTTATGAAGAAGATACATCCTCTATCTAATTTAGATTTGATGAAGACAAAGATTGATGCATTCTATCAAAGAAGAAAAAGCATGAGAAGACACGTGATGGATGTTTGTCGATTATAAAGTTTAATCAAGTGATTAATTAAAATGGTTGGTCATGATTAAAGTTCATTATAATTCATATTATATTATTTAGATGCTCCGAATGTCATATGCATCTTAATCTCTAAAGTTATTAAAACATCATGCATTAAAATCATTAAAATCTTTCAAGTAATGCCATTAACAAGTAAATTTTTCACTTTTAACACAATGACAATTTGTAACATGAATATTGTAATCAGTTACCAATTCATTCTATTCTTTGTAAATTATGGAAGTTTAAACCATTTTAATAACACTTTCATAATTGACGTAATTATCTTATTTTTGATAAACCGGTTACATGAGCTTATTGTTTTAAAAATGTGAATGTTGGAAGAGTGGTAACTGATTACACTATGATAGTAATCGGTTACACCATGAAAAAAGATGAATTTTCACGAACCAACTTCATTCTAAGTCATGGCAAAGCTTATGGAATTGCTTCTAACATATTCATACTCTTATAGGTATATTTAGGTGTATATAAGGTTATAGACATCATATTTTTAAGGGTTGATTTTGACCTCCTTAAAAAAATTTGTGATTCTCCCCTTAACATCATAGCCCCTGAATCAATATTTCACATACGTGGCATTTCATGTAGTTTTTTTTTTTTTTAAATCCATGTCGTGGGATTTGTTGAATTTTTTATTATATTTTTATGATATATTACATTTTTGTTACTTTTTATATTAATTTTTTTCTACGTTTTCTTAAATTATTTTATTAATACTTTTGTTACTTTTTATATTAATTTTTTCTACATTTTCTTAAATTATATATATATATCAGTGGATTCATGTAAGTGTTAGAAGTGTTCACGGTTCACTTAATACTTAAAATTTTGAATTCAATGTGTGAGACTGGTTTATAAACACTTTCCTCTTATATCAAAATTTCGACGTGGGACTTTATAGTAACACATTTCTTCATTTTCTCACTCACTTTTGCATGAATTTGTAAGTTGTACTCAAGTAAATGTAAGAGTTGCTGGAGTTTTTTCTCTTCTCAGATACACACCACTTAATACATAAGAGTTACTGGAATCTTATTCCAATCAAACAGTGAATTCATGTAAGTGTTAGAAGTGTTCACGGTTCAGTTTGAATCGGTTTTGAGACAAAAAATCATTTGATCTAAAAATTCATAAAACGTGCAGTTTGATTTGGTTTTTGGATGACACCATAAAAAATCCAATCTAATCCTATCCAATTTATTCGGTTTTATTCAATTTGGTTAATTCAGTTTTATTTAGTTTTTAAACCTAAACTGTTTACAAATTAAAAATAATTTAAATATTTAAAATTTACAAGTAGAGTTCAAGAAAGTTTACAAGAAATAAATGGTATATTTATATATACCAAGTTACAAACAACTTTTATTCTACTGGTATAGTTAGAATTATACCAACTTTTATTCTACTGAGAAATCAATGGTATAGTTATATATACCAACTTTTATTCTCCAACATTTTTTCGGTGCACTTCGTTAGCAAGGACTCAATGTGAAGTAGCAGTTAATAGAGAATACTACAAAATAGGTAAAAACTTAAAATTGCAGTTTATATTCTATGGTATATTTATATATACCAACAACATTTATTCTACTGGCATAGTTAGAACTTAAAAGAATAAAAGCAAATAAGTAACTCCATAAATAATTCCATCATAATTCCATAAGTAATTCAGTACAATAAGTAATTTCATAAGTAATTCAAATAACAACTTCAACAATTCCAACTTCAACAGAAACAATAGAAAGCAACAAAAACAAAGCATAATAACATAGCAGAAAGCAACAGAAAGTCAGCAACAATAGCTCCAACAGTTCCAGGATCGGCAGAAACAATAGCTTCAACAATGCAAAAATCAGAACAGCAACTTTCACAATGCAGAACAATAGCTAATCAGAATCTATATCACTTACACCTTCATTCAATTATCGGATTGGAGCAAGTTCTATAAAATATTAAGTAATTCAAGTTATAAAGGGGAAGATTTACGAAAAACAAAGTTATAAGTAATACAAGTAATCCAACAAAAAATAATTCAAGATATAAGTAATTTACCTAATTCAAGATTTTCTAACTCCTTCAATATCGATTGACACCGGAGAAGATTTACATCAATTTTGCGTATAAATTAAAGCTTCAACTGTTTTTAGCGTAAGAGAGCTTCTGTAAAAAGTAAGCATTTTACCTCCAATAGAGAAAGCGGATTCCAAAGCTATAATAGACACAGGCATGGCCAATACATCTCTAGCTATTTGACCAAGAATAGGATACTTATTGGAATTCACCTTCAACCAATTCAAGATATCAAAACCAATACTTTTCTTCTCCAATTTCTCCATGACATACAAATCCACTTCATTTTTCTACATGCTCTCATTAATATTCATGTACATCTCAACCTCCAAAGCAAATGCATCCTCGAGTGCTTTAAGTTTTAAGTTCTATCAAATCCACTTCATGAGAGGAATGTGTAGGATTTTCATATTGACCTTTACCAAGGAAAAGCCTATAGCTATCAAATGTTTTATACAATGTCTCCTCTATTTTTTTTATACAAAGATTCAACAACATCATTTCCATATGCCATGTTTAAGCCCCACCTAACAAACTACATCTTTTGCCGAGAATCAAACACAACATCAACAAATATCAGCATATTCATTTTTTTTTAACACCACTCCAATATTTATCATACTTAACTTTCATATTTTGAGCCATATTTCCAAGCAAGTTATCTGAACTTTTTAATTCTATCCACCCCTTCAAAGTAGTCAATATCCTAATGTGTTCGTTGAAATATTGAGAAGAGGTTACAAAAGTAGAACCTAAAAATTTCTTTGTAATGTCAAAAAATATTTTCAAGAAATTAACAAAACACTTTGCATTATCCCAATCCGCATTATTTGGAATACCACCTTTCATCCGCACAAAATCAACACACTTCTCACTCAATATCTTAAATGCTTTCTAAAACTTCAATGCACTTTCAAGCATAAGATATGTGGAATTCCACCTAGTGGAAACATCTAACTGAACAATCGACTACTCTTGTAACCTAACTTCCTTAATACAAGTTTTAAACCTATCCATATGACCCGAAGATGCACGAACATATCTAACAACATTCCTAATCTTACTAATTGAAGAATGATAGTCTTCGAGTCCATCTTGGACCACAAGATTCAGAATATGTGCACAGCAGCGAACATGCATATGTTCCTCTTTCAATGGATATGAATTCCAATCATTCATTGTATTTTTCAAGTAAGAGATAGCGACATCATTAGAACTAGCATTATCAACCATAATGGTGAAAACATTACCAATTAGCCATTCCTCCAAACATTTTTCAATTTTTTTGCCGGTGGTACTCCTTTTGACTCACAATTGGACAAAAAATCATATTCCTTTTATGAATTTTCCATTCATGACCAATGAAATGTGCAGTGAGACAGATATAACTCAAATTTTACACTGATGTCCAACAATCAATTGTAAGACAAACACATTCATTTGATTTATTTAACACACTTTTTAACTTTTGTTTCTCACTCGTGTACAAATCCCAACAATATCTAGAAATTGTAATCCTTTTAGGAGTCGAGAGTATAGGTTGTAAGACACTCATAAAATGAAGAAACCCCTCTCCCTATACAAACTTAAAATCTAACTCATCAACAATAATCATCCTAGCTAACGCTTTCCTACACGCCTCATCATCAAAATGGACACTAGTGAGAACACTACCAGATCCATTCCCTTCTTTTTTTCAGTTGTTGAAGAACAAGAGTCTGTTAAGTGGGATTAATAGACTCTTTGGGAAATTTCTTACATTGGTGCAACAAATGGTGTCACAAATTACTAGTGTCATTTCTTTGTGAATCAACAGCATATGTTACATCACACCAATTACACTTAGCTTTTGATCCTATTTTTGTAAAATATTCCCAAGTCCAAAATCTAGGTTAACAGGTTTTCTATTACCTGAAAACCCAACTGCAACATTAGGATCATTGGGTGTGGTCAATGTTGAAGCTTCTCCAACTTTGTTTTTCTTATTATCATTTTCTTCATCATTATTCACTTCATTAGTTTGTTCTAATAGAGGTGGAGGTTCGGTTGTTTCACCCTGCAAAATAGGAAACACGTGAGAACTTTTTTCACATTTAAAAATTTAGGCACCATCATTCTGTTTTAAGCTGTAAATTTTCTTTCACATCTAAAAACTCAAAATTTCATTCACACCTAAAAACTCAAGATATGCACCACGATGCACATACTAATGACAACAAATAAATTAAAAGATATTGAAGTCCCGTATCAGTTAGAGAATTTTTTTATAACATTGATTTATACCATTATAACATTAATCAACATTTCCTAATGTAAAAACAAACTAATTAAAATTAAGTTTTGATACCTGAATATGGTTTCTAATAATATCAGATTGAGTAGATGAACCAACTGGATCAGATGACTTTTCTTTGCTCATTCCTTTAAAAATCAAACAAATTAAAATTAGAACATATTGAGAATTGACATGGATAAATATAACTATCTTAGTATCTTACTGTTACTGTCATTACTGATATTAGAAAATCTAAAACAAACTATACAAACTAAAATAGTGATTCTTGAACTAATTTCAGACTATTGAGATGAATCGAATAACTTACTTACTGATATTAGCCTATCAGAATGAGATTCGAAACCAGAAAAGAAATTGAGATGAGCTGAGAGTGAGAGCAGAGAATTGAGATGAAGAATTGAGAACTGAGAGGCGAGAACTGGGAAGTGGGAACAGAGATTCGAAACCAGAACTTAAATTTAGATATAGAAGGAGCGAAATCGGAGGATTGAGACGGCTACAATCAATATCATTCATTGTGAAATTAACTTGGATGATTGAAAGCGTGATTTTAGGCGTGGGACGATTGAGAATCTCCGTGAAGAGTTGGACTTGGAGATATGAACGGCTAAACCTAATTTGGATGAGGTGAAATGAGTGATTATATTCATTATTAGTTTAATTTGGAATTAAGTGGAATAAATACTGGTTCGGTTTGGACCAGCTTGGTTCTCATGTAGTCAACCGCAAACTGAACCGAATTGGTCGGTTATGATACACGATGGTCCAATCTTATAAAAAAATCGGTTTTTTTATTTTGTTTTTTTCAATTTGGCTTACGGTTTTTTATTGGATTGGATCTGAACACCCTAGTAAGTGCCAATGTCACTGCTAGTTTGATATGCTTGCTAGTTTGATATGCCTTGCTTTTTCTTCCTGTTCTACGACAAGTAAATGCTCTACTACGGTTAACGATCAAGCTTCCATTGAAGACAGTGAAGCAAGTGCTCTATTAAAATGGGTAAAGTAAAGGTAATTAGTTGTTTTTCTTTTATCTATTGTGCTTTTTTTGAGTTGCCTTAGTGGATTTGAACATGATCCGTGTATGGCAATTAAGAAAAGCCAAAGAACCATTTGTTAAACCATGTGAACCCATGAGTACAGCAGAAAGCTTCACATAAGTTTTCCAAGGATTCACCATTTGCTTGCTTGTGAAACCTTGAAGGTAAATCAGAAACAAGTAAGCAAATCCTTGAATAAATGTGAAGTACCAACCATAACTGCAACAAAAAAAAAATCAAAATCACTCATTTCACTTTTAGCTTTTCCATTGAAAGCTAAAAAAAACTAGTAACAAATGAAAGCATGAAATAGTAATAACTTGTTGTAAATATCTTCCATTTAAATTGTGAGTATTTTCCACTTGGTATTTTCCACTTGTTGTGTTGTTGTGTTATTCTGAGTGAAAAGAGATTGATAGTGAGAGTAGGGGTGAAAATAGGTTAAGCTTTATAAGGTCTGAGTCTGGCATACGATAAACTTATAAGGCCTGAGCCTAGCCTATGACCTACTATAGGCTTATTTTTTTGGCCTGAACTTTTTAAAAGACTGGCATGGTGTAACGCGGTGAGATAACTGACTTGGTTGTTTTGCATTTGATTGCAAATGTTACAGTTAGCAAGAGTCGCCACCCACTTTTCTTTTATCCAAAAGGAAATGTTGAAAAGAACAGGAAAGACCTTTGAGATATTTTCTTGAGTTCGGGGGGTAGATTATGAAAAGGGAAGGTATTAACACCCTTTTCGTGCGTAGTTATCTACGGGCTCTTAGTTGCTTGCTAGATCACTTTCTTTTGTTTGAAAATGTATTTTGTGTGGTTTTTGAAAATATTTTGAAAAGGTCTTTGTAATGGTTTTCGTTTCTATAAGAACGCGTACAAAGTGTTTGTATAGAAAATAGTTCAAAGAGGTGTTTGTGTTTTTGAAAGTGATTTTGAAAATGGTGTCTTCTTTGTAATGACTCTCGTTTCTATAAGAACGCGTACAAAGTGTTTGTCTTTTGAAAATATTTCAAGTTTGAAAGATGTTTTGAAAGTGTTGGTGCTTGTTTTGAATATAGCAAGGATGTTTTGGTTTGAAATTGAGAAAGCAACTAGGTATATTCTACCTACTCAAAAGTCTTTCTTGTTTATTTCCTCCTTCCTTTGACATTGTTATCTTACTATGGATTAGTAAGTAACCTTATCTTTGGATGTAAAAAGGGACGGACAAGGGTCATCGTATAGCCATGATTAGCAACATTGTAAGATATATTAACATTTTCTTTAGGGACTAAGATTATTTTTGAAAGGAAACTTTGATAGCGTCATCAAGGGACTATGATCTTGTATTTTTTGATTTGCTTTTGCTAAGATACCTCACATGCATAATATGGCCATTTTTGTAAGGCAACAAAGTGGGTTTACCATAAGGGTGTAAGTGTGCAAGTGTATTGATTTACATGCATTTGTTTTGTCTTTGAATTAGGGTTTTCTAAGCATTGGTTTTATCGTTCCATACAAACCCTAATTACTAGCAATAATATTGAAAGCGGTAAATTGCAGAATTTAAATGTCCTACGCTATTACAACGCTTTAGGGGATGGGATACAGATTTATGAATGGGGAATAAAAGTAATAAACCCTATTTACTATTGCAAATTGATATGCTACACAAATATAAAATAATAATAAAAGGTAAATGAATGTATAAAGATGGAAAAGGGAAAAGTATGTGACAAAAACCCTAAAATCTAAGTATTTAAGAAAATAATATTTTTGTTTGAGAAAAGGAAGTTTGAATTTTGAAAGAAAAGAAATTAGTCCTAATTTGTATTTACAAATTTAATTAATGTGAAAACAAAATGTGATTGATCAATTTATGAAAATAAATTAAAATACTAAAATATTCTAAATGTTTTAAGAAAAATAATTTTGGAGTTTTGTTTTAGGAAAATATTTTAATGTAGTGTAAAAAAATAGTAAAAAACCTAGTTCTAATTAATTTAAACAAATTAATAAAATAAACCTAATGTGTGATTAAAATAAATTAATTTTATTTGTGAAAATAAATTAATTAATTTAAAAAAAAACTTAAATCTATATTTTTTTTATGATTTTATGATTTTTTTGATTGAAAATAAAATAATTAAAAGGGAATCAAATAAATAAAAAACAAGATCAAGAGAAAAATATAATGGGCCTGAGTTGCAAGAGTGATCAGGGGGGTGAGAAATAGTAAAAGGTTCAGGCCCAAAACATATTGAGTCCAGGCGCCTATAATATGATCCAGTGTGGAGGCCTCAAGAAGGTGCATCATGAGGATGCCTTGTAGTGTGTTGGATTGACTTTGATGATGATCAGACGATGTTGATTGAGGATATATCATGCGCGTGTAGAAGCTGCCTCTACAAGATCTGTAAAAATAAAACATGAAAAAGTAAAAGGGTACCACTGGGGCTCGAACCCAGGTCCATATAGTCACAGGCGCGCGCTTCTACCACTGGGGTGGTTATACATCAGTTTATTAATACAAAACCAAAATATATATTTGAAACACATCCCTAGGCCTGTATCATCTTCAACCTCGTGCCAGACCATTCAACATGATTTTTTTGAAATTGATATCTCTTTCATTTCTCAACCATTTTCAAAAGTACAAACATGAAAGTTGCTGGAAATTTCATCACGAATTCAACCATGTAAATAACTTAAGCTAACACTCAAAGATGAACATGAATTTTAAATGGTACCAAATTATGACCTAATTTTTTCAGAGATTCAAACTTAAAATCCTCTAAGCTCAAGCAATATAAATGAAAACTATGGACATGGTTAGCTTTAGGGCAGTGATATCTACATTTTTCATTCACAAATTAAACATTAATGATGCATATATGAAGAGTTCAAAAGTCAGAAAACTCACCTTGCAAGAGGGTATCATGTCTTGAGTTTGAGCAGCTTTTGATGAGTTCCAATTATTGGGTTAGCTTGCTTAAGTTCCTAGGGAGCTAATGTGATGCTTGGCTTGAGCTGAAAGTGGCTGAGGAGTTATGGAGAACTCAACTTGCAGGGCCCTATTTTTGGTTATGGAGGTTGATGAATATGGAGTTACAGTTATGGAACAGGGTCAGGGATGAGTTGTATTTGATGTTTAGAAGCTTTAGGAACCAAAAGGCTTGGAAACGCATGCGGGAGATGTGAGTTTCAAGTTTTTGGTCAGATTATGCAACAATGAAGTTTTTTGATGCATTTTTTAGTTTTAGGGAGTTTAAAGGCCTGTGTATGCGTGGGTTTTGATGCAAACAACTTGTGCATAAGTAAGGAGAAGGTTAGAGTGCTTGAGAGGGTCAAAAGTACAAGATATAGACTGATTGTTATGTTACTTGATTTTGAAGAAAAGTGGGAATATGGTTTCAAGGCATAGTACAAGCATGGGCTGAGTTGTTTAGAGGCTTGAGACAAGTTTATTTTGGGTTATAGGTTGTATATGATCAGAAGAAAACAAGTGCAAATCTCAAGAACATATTTTGTGCATAAAGCTACTTTTCAAAAATGGTAATGTGCATTTTCTTCCCAAAATGAAAATAAGCATGGGCAATGCATTGAATGCTTGAGTTGAAGCCTCTAACAGCTGTGCAAAACATTTAATTATGGAGTTCTAAACAAGTTTGAGGCCTGCAAAGCAAAGATTGTACAACCTAGCATGGATTTCAATTCTTGTTCATCATGAAATTGACCTAAAATTCAAGAATGAAATGCCAACTTCATGCCTTCAATTCTCCTTGCTCAAAAATGATCTCAAGGATTTATTAGACATTTTAGAAAGCTTGTAATGTTATCTACAACCTCTCTTTGAATCACTTTTGAAAATTCCCCTTGAAACTATGTGAAAAGTTGCCATGAAGTTAGGTCAAAATCCTGCCTAAACTAAGACAAAATTTCACTAAGTTTCCAAGTTTCATGAACATGTATTCATAAAACCATAACTTGAAATCCATGAATTTCTAGGAAAATTTGTGTAAATCAATGTTTTATATCTCATTTATATCTACAACTTTCATGTTGAAAGTTTCCTTTGAATCATCTTGCATCATGGTGAAAAAATGGCTCAAAGTTGTAAAAAAACATGAAGTTTTCAACACTTAGAAAAATTTATAAGTTTGGAAACTTTGACTTTTCAAAATGAAATCTTGACTTTTTAATTTCTTGATGAACAAGTTTCATATTTTGACATGTTTTGATGAATTGTGATCTTTGACACTTGATTTTGACCAAAAAGTCAAAGTTTGACTTTTCAGTATACATTTGACTTTTGATCAGTTGACTGAAAATCAACTATCAATCAATTGATCTTGGGGGAAGTTTTGAGTCATGTCATTAGTTTAAAATGATGAAATTGAATCCTTGAGATCATTTTTCCAACCAATCAACCATTTGCTAGGTCAAAAATCAGAAATTGCCCTTCCTAAGTCAAAAACCCTAATTTTGACCATTTTGCCCTTTTGATGATCTGATCAAATTTCTTGAGGAATTGTGATCCAAACTTGGTCAAATGACATATATGAGTTCATGATGTTGATATGGATCAAAAATTATTAAGTTTGACTATAAATTGGCCACAATTGATTTTCCCCCCAATATAGTTGATTTTTAGGTCAACTGATCAATTGACTGGGCAAAAATGTGATCCAAGACTTGAAACTTGACATGAGCAATCTTGAGGGTCCATAATGATACATGAAAGTCATAGGAGGCATTAAAAGTTCAATTATCCTTGTGTAATCTCAAACCCTAATTTCAGTCATCAGTGCTTAAGGAGGGCTCTTGAGCTGATCAACCCTAGTGCAGTTTTGAACCAAAGGAGATCTTGTGAGAAAATTCTTGATCAATGAGAGGGAAAATTTTGGGGTACAACACATGGCCTGAAATCCTATTTCAAACTTGTTTCTCATTAAGATTTTCAATAAATCCATATTACTTAAGAAGCCTTATATGTCAGCCTATTTAGCATTTTTCTAATATATATATATATATATATATATATATATATATATATATATATATATATATATATATATATATATATATATATATATATATATATATATATATATATATATATATATATATATATATATATAGGCCGGCCTATAATGCTTCAT